CTGGGTTAAGCTTCATGTTGTACTTCCTCAAGATTTTGAATGTTTCCTGCAAATGAATTAAATGGTCCTCTACGCGCAGGGACTTAACCAACATATTGTCAATGTAAACTTCCATTGATTTACCTATCTGTTCCTCGAACATTTTGTTAACTAGGCATTGGTATGTAGCTCCTGCATTTTTTTAGCCCGAAGGGCATTACATTGTAACAGTATGTTCCATACTTAGTGATAAACGAGGTCTTCTCCTGGTCTTCCGGGTTCATCTGAATTTGATTGTACCCGGAACAGGCATCGAGAAAAGTAAGGATCTCATGGCCAGCTGTGGCGTCGGCCATGTGATCGATGTTAGGCCGCGGAAAAGAGTCTTTAGGGCATGCCTTGTTTAATTCTTTGTAATCTACGCACATTCTAAGTTTGTTTCCTTTTTTAGGGACTACAACTATGTTGGCTAACCATTCGGGGTATTTTACCTCCCGAATGGACCGTATTTTAAGAAGTTTAGTTACCTCATCCTTTATGAATGCATGTTTGACCTCAGACTGGGGCCTTCTTTTTTGCTTCACCGGTTTGAACCTGGGGTCGCGGCTTAACCGATGTGTTGTTATCTCCGATGGGATTCCTGTCATGTCTAAATGGGACCAAGCAAAACAATCCATGTTATCGATAAGAAATTGAATGAGTTTTTTCTTGAGTTTGGGGGTTGACCCCATTCCCAGGTATACCTTTCATTCGGGTAGATGTTCGATCTGTATCACCTGTTCCAGCTCTTTGACCGTTGACTTGGTTGCAGCTGATTCTTCGGGAACAACGAAAGTTCGAGGAGTAAGGAAATCCCCTTCTTCTTCTTCGATTACCCGTTTCTTCGATTCGGTCGAAGCTGGTGACGGTGATTGCTATTTGGCCATCTGCTTATCGTTGGTGCTCGATTTTTTTGGTCGAGGGCATTGAGATCGGCGTCACTTCATCAACTGCAAACATTTTCTTTGCAGCGTGTTGTTCCCCGTAAACTGTTTTCACACCATCCACTGTCGGGAATTTTATCATATGATGAAGGGTCGACGGTACTGCCCTCATGTTGTGGATCCATGGCCTCCCGAGTAGTGCATTATATCTCATGTCGCCTTCAATGACGTGAAATTTTGTATCTTGGATGGTCCCGGCCACGTTCACTAGTAAGATTATCTCCCCCTTCGTTGTTTCGCTTGCCATGTTGAAGCCGTTTAGGACTCGAGATGCAGGCACAATTTGGTCCTGTAGGCCGAGCTGCTCTACGACCCTCGATCTGATTATGTTTGCTGAACTACCTGGATCCACTAGAACACGTTTAACTTGAATTTTATTTAGCAAAATAGAAATTACCAGGGCATCGTTGTGCGGTTAAGAAATGCCCTCCGCTTCTTCGTCATTGAACGATAGGATGCCTTCGGGCACATAGCCCCGAGTGCGCTTCTCTCTGGTGATCGACACCTTGGTTCATTTGAATATAGGCCCTTGTGGAACATCGACCCTGCCAACGATCATATGAATTACACGCTGCGGTTCTTCCTGCTCATTCTTTCTGTTGGCGTCTCTTTCTCTGAAGTGATTCTTAGCTCGATCATTGAGAAACTCTCGAAGTATGCCCTCATTGAACAATCGAGCTACCTCCTCCCTCACTGTCTGCAGTCTTCGGTCTTATGCCCATGCGTGCCGTGATATTTACACATTAAGTTTGGGTTTCTTTGAGAAGGATCAGTTTGTATAGGTCTGGGCCACCTGGTGTCTTTGATCCTTCCGATAGCCGATACGATCCCTGATGCATCGACACTGAAATTATACTCCGATAACCGAGGTGCTTCTGTGGGATCGGTATGTGTATCAAAAACATTCTTACTCATAAGTCCCCGAGAATTTTTTCCCTCGATCATTTCTTCGATCATTCCGAGGAGGATTGCGCCCCGAACCATTGTTTCTTCGATCTGCGACATATGGCTGATATCGTTCCCTATTCAACCTTGGCTCCCTATCGGTATCTCTCGGGGCTTTAATTGCCAATCTATTTGGATGAACTGAACCCGAGGGGGCTCCCAGCTGGTCGTCCTCGACCCTGATCTCCGATTGATAGCGATTATGCACATCTGCGCAAGTTACAGCTGGATACTCGATCAAATTTTGCTTCAACTGTCGTGACGCGATCGAACTCCGCTCGTTCAACCCCTGGGTAAAGGCTTGAACGGCCCAATCATCTGTGACCGGTGGTAATTCCATTCGCTCCATTTGAAATCAGGATATGAACTCCCTTAGCATTTCATCACCTCTCTGTCTTATCTTAAAAACATCAGATTTCCTCGTTGTGACCTTTTATGGCCCCGGCGTGTGACTTCATGAAAGCATCTGCTAACATAGCAAACGAATTGATAGAATTTGGTGGCAAGTTGTCATACCAGATCATTGCTCCCTTTGACAAAGTTTCCCCAAATTTTTTCAACAAAACCGACTCGATCTCATCATCATTTAAGTCGTTTCCTTTAATCCCGCATGTGTACGAGGTGTTGTGTTCATTAGGATCGCTCATCCCGTTGTACTTAGGTATATCTGGCATACGGAACTTCTTAGGAATGGGCTTCGGAGCTGCACTCTGAGGGAATGACTTTTGCACGAACTTCTTGGCATCCAAACCTTTTAAGATCGGGGGTGCCCCCGGTATTTTATCAACATGAGAGTTGTATGTTTCCACTTTTTTGTCATTATCTTCAATTTTTTTCTCTCCCGACTTTTGGTGAGCTCCTCGAGCATCTTCATAATTGCAGGATCAGTCCTCGATCAATTACCGTTCAACCTTTTTGGCACCAGCTCGGTACGGCGAGTGATTTCTGGTTCGACCACACTCGGAGTTTTATGTTGACTTTGAAGCTAAGCGATAGCAACCTGTTGATCTTGTAGCATCTCGAATATTACTTGGAGGCTAAATCCCCTATCTCCTACACCCTGTGTTCCTTGGCACCAGATCAGACTTTCCTGCGTACACTTCCTCCGGGGTCTGCGCCTAAGTCCGCATTTAAAGCAATGTGCGAACTAACATCAACTGGTTCTGCAATCGGCACTTCCTCGGGGTTAACTGGTGTCGCACCGGCTCCTGGAGCAACTGCATTATCATTTTCCCCATGAAGTCCAAGACCATCATCGCCATGTACGGGTGCATTTTGTGAGTTTGACATGATTCAACCTGAGAACAAAAATTCTTGACAAGAACAAGTGTGAAAATAACATGTGTTATTAGAATCAGTACTGAAACAATCACTATTATCTTTAGCCCCACGGTGGGCGCCAAACTGTTTACCCTAAAATATGAGTAACAATTAAACTTGTATTGTGATTTTAAAGATATGTGATTTAATTTAATCAAATACTAATTGATAGACAAGGAATCAAGTGTGTAAATTAAAGAGTAAGGTAAGTCAAACCAACATATGAGCAGACCTCGACCTCGAACAATGACGACCTCGAGGTAGTTGGACAAGAACAGTAAAATAATAACAATGAGATTCAGATGAGCAGTAAGCAAGAAAGTAATGTAAGTATATTCTCTTGTCAATGATTGATGCGTTACAAATGATTGAGGTCCCCTTTATATAGTAGGGGAATCCTAAATAAGATACAATTTAATATAGTAGGGAATCTTATTATACAGCTGTCTAACCGCCTAGTACGAATCTGTTCCGGAATTTACGCCGCGATCGTAGGGCCGCTGCGGGAATCTCGCTCTTTCTGTTATGAAACCATAACGGTATTATCTCGAGGTCGGTCATACTTGGCCTCGGTGTTCATCGAGCACTTCGATCTTCGAGTCTTGTACTCCGCCCTCGGGCTCGAGCCTGGTCCATTTCGAACTTGTTCTCGAAGTGACCCTCGAGAACACGAAATCGGTCGTACATGATTTCGACCGTATACACGTCTTCTTCTGATTAACTATGTACATATATTTGTTTTTAGGTAAAAAAACAAAGTATATAACTGGTAACTTTGATGTTATAGTTTAGGGCACAGCTTTTTCTATATTTGTTGAAGAGGATAAAGATCACATGCAGAAACATTTGTTCAAAACGTTTTCAAAAGCTCAACCAACTGGGTTTTCGACACGTTCATTTAATAATGTTCATCTTGACAATAAGTAAAAGCCTGACATATAGTACTCGATCGAGAGTCTTGACATTTGGTAAAGGGGCAGATCGAGAAATTTCTCACCATATATATAATTACTGTAACATATAGGACAATACTAGTCGGGACATCAAATTCAAAGATACATCTTAGCCTTTAATGGAAAGGGTTAGCTAGCCAGACTGGAACAGATAAGGATGGAATCTTCTTTTTTACCGTTTGACACTATTTTTGTGGAGAGTTGGCTCAATATATCAGACGAAAAGACTAGCTCATTTGGTTACAATAATAATTATGTTTCACAAGCAAGTTGGATTCAAATAAATCTTTATCGTCCATGTTCCTCATTTGAATTTATCTCAAACTAGTATTATATAAAGTAAAAAATAAAATAAAAGTATACGTATAAGACTCATATATTTCCTACTGAAATAAAAATATCTAATAGGACTAAGAACTTATGGAAAGCAAAGGACTAAAATAGATGTATATATCGCCTATAAATCATTAAAAGGAAAACCACTAAATTATAAATTTCCAGTTTTTGAAAATTTTGAAAATCTGATTATGGTAAAATCCTCATTTAGTTGGAAGGATAAGAAAAAAAATAATCATGTATAAGATAATACTATGCGTGGCTAGAGAAAATAATACTTAATTTGTAACTTATGCAATTAACATCTAATTGGCTGTGTTTTTTTTTTTTTTTTGGCATGAGGTACATTAAAGTATTTAAAATAAAACACTAAAATAAGTAATCTCTGCATAAAAATACTTTTATTATTAATCAATGCATAACAATCCGTACATCCTTAATTACCATATGCTAACAAAATTTTCATTATCAATTATCACGCCATAAATAATTCCTGCATTAGTCCCCGCACGACTAGCATGTGAACCAAATGATCCCAAAAACTTCAAACAATCGCTAGCGCCTCCTGGCGGCGGTCTCTCGTTGTGCATTGAAGAAGACGGCGGCGACAGGCGGGCCAAGGTCATTTACGTTGGCAAAGTTGCGAGTGTTGAAGTGATCTCTGGAAACAGCATGTGGACTAACTGACTGTCTGCATTTCTGCTTAAAGAGAACAAACACAAACCTATGTATTCCAATATTAGGCCTTGGGATCTCATAGCTAACCAACTCTTTTCCTGCTCAGCATTAGCATGTCAGAAACCAACCTATATACTAAAAGAAGTCGAAGGAAAAATTTAAAGGCCAAAATAGTGATAGCTTACCAAAGGTGGCATCTGTAGTTCCTGGAATATCAGTCACTATCCTGCAAATATGAATGTAAAGAAGTATATATGATTAAGAGTTATTATTGTGATGACGACCTACATTGTTAACCAGATTTAACTTATATGAACTGACGACAGTGTGAAAGAACATACATGTAGTGTATCTTAACATGTTGTAGCAGATTACTAACCTTATTTTTCAAGTTACGAGTCCCACTTATTATAGATAATTACCTCTCTTTTAGGTAACTAATGTGATATATATTTGTCTACTAGCGAAGTATTTTACATGGCATTGGCAGCTTGCATAAGAATGTTTATGCTTTTCTCTCTTTGATTATGTTGACCATACCTTTTGTGTATGTCCTTATAACGAGTTTATTACTAGATAATTGCATGACTTTATCTAATGCAAATAAAAATTGCAAATCAAACAATAATAATCTCCTTTCTTTTTGACTTATCTCTTCTAGTTATTTTTTTCCATAGATTTTCTTCAATGTAGTACATACCAGTGAAGATGTTCTCTCAGATACGGATCACTAGGGCCAGGCACATCAGGGTCTGTCATGACCTACAATAAGAAGAATAATATCATGCATGATTAATGATTTATCAAAGATGTCTATACACTCAAACATCTCTATAACAGCCGCGTTTGTTCCGATATTTTTTGGATGCTATAGTGATGTGTTGTAATAGAGTATTTTTCGAGAAAAAACTTAGCTTTTATTGTGAATAGTTGTTATATCGGGATGCTGTTATAGAGAGGTTTGAGTGAGTGTGACTGTATAGCAATGAAAAGTTAATAACCTGAAGGAGAAATTTAGAAAAGTTACCAAGGTGAAGAAAGTTCTCATATCACCACCTTGAACCTCAACCCTAGGTCTGATAGTGACTGCAGAAGGGAAGAGCTCTTGGCCATTGCAAACTTGTTTATTGTTGTAAGTGACTGTCATTTTATCAGTGGGACTGAATGAATCAAGAACATCCCCTACTACTCTCCCTACTACTAGAGGCTCTACATTCCTTGCCATTATAGAGAGAGAGAGAAAGATCTTTTGGATTGCTATGAACTTAGCTTGTGAGAGATTTTGATTGAACAGTGAAATAGAGCCTCATTTATAGTTGCTGTCTTGTAATATCTACTCAGTATAGTTTCAAATAAAAAATGGAATCTTATGGAACTTCAAATAGAATAAAGGGCGCTATGCGCGGGATCCGGGGAAGGGCCGAATCGCAAGGGACTATTGTACACAACATTATCCTGCATTTCTGCAAGAGGCTGTTTCCATAGCTCGAACCCGTGACCTCTTGGTTACATGACAACAACTTTACTAGTTACGCCAAGGCTCCCCTTTGAACTTCAAATAGAATATTCTTTTTAAAAAACCCTACCCCTGGAAAAAAAAAAAAAGACTTAATTTTTCTTTGTTAGTTTTATACAAGACATTGTAGGCAAAGAAGATTGTTCAACCTTAACTATGTACTTATCTAGATCACCAAAAATACTGGCACGAGATGACGTTTTATGGTTTAAATACATTCTAAATTCTTCCACGAAAATAATGAAATCTTAGTACGAGAACTTAATTATAAACGTTTCCTTTACAACACCTTAAAGTTGCCATTTTGCTTACTTTTTAAGTATGCGCTAGCTTGGTACTTTCCTACTTTCTTTTCCTTTAGGAGGGGGTCATATGTACTATATTATGACTTGACAAATGTAAGTACAATAAAAACAAGTCTTGTAAATTCCTTTCAGAAATTTGTGAATAATGATAACTGTCTTCTAATCATAGTAAAATTATCCTTAAGTTGACAATAAAATTTCAACTGGATACTACAAACTGGTACTAACATATCTTAGCTTTATCAAACACTTCTCTAATTAATCTTATTTTCCATATGGGAAACTAATCAATAGATCTCAAATGTGGAGGAGTTAGTGATGTGTATTTTATGCTATTATGTCAGTTCTCTTTCACACCTGAATGGAGCTCTTGGAATTGGTCCATCATTTGTTGTTTCAGCTTACATAATAGCGACACTGAATAGCCACTCTGAAAATAATAGCCGAAAAATGTATATTTTTTGTATTATATATATATATATATATATATATATATATATATATATATATATATATATATATATATAATACAAATGTAAATAGTTTCGGCCGCGAGAGCTAAAAGTGATCTTTGCTCTACATATACTTAAATTAATCCAAACCTTTTCCTCTCCACTATAAAATTATCAGATGAAATCCTTAAATAAGTTTTTGCATGTGGTCCCAACTAAGCAAGTTGTCACATTTGTTTTTGCAAAAATTCAGAATATAAGTAAACATATTGCCAGGGAATCTATTACTTTTTTCATTTAGGGTAATCCTAAGAAACTAATCTTGAAATATGGGCTTGTCTTTGTTAAAAACTTTCCTAAATTGTGTGTAAACAATAGGCAAAGATTATAAAGTACGTTAATTGTTTTAAGTGATATTCTGATGGAGGATGGGCACACTGCTCAGAGTATAAAGGGAACTCCACCATACTTAATTTACAGACAATTAGTGACTGTAAGATCTGAGAAGTCATTTGAGAGTATATATAAAGATGATTTGCACCCATAATTCCTATTTTGGAAATTTCTGAGGTGTTAGGATTACTATAATTAGAAACCAAAGTACTGATCTGTTGCAGACTAGCTCTGTCAATCGTGCAGCTCGATGCAGTTCAAAACACACCACGTTTCCTCTTCACCTTTTTCACTCATTAATGTGTTACTACTAAATTGGTGTTAAGTTATACTACCTAGTACCTAACACCGTAAAGTTTTTTACATTATAAGTGTAATTTTAATACTATGTTAGCTAGCTACCGTTTTATTCGCTTACAAGTTAATATTTATCATGGAATTTCACTTGTAATTATCCTATAAGTGATTATATAAATAATTTTTTATGAACAGTCGATGCATAAAACTTAAAATCTATTAGATTAAGGAAAAAGTTTCAAAAAGCCTCCTTATAATATTCTTGCATATGGAACATTAAGAAAGGCAGCCCGGTGCATTAAGCTCCCGCTATGCGTGGGGTCCAGGGAAGGGCCGGACGACCAGGGTCTATTATACGCAGTCTTACCCTATATTTCTGCAAGAGACTTTTCCACGATTCAAACCCGTGACCTCCTGGTCACATAGCAACAACTTTACAAGTTAATTATGCCAAGGCTCCCTTCTGGAACATTGTTCAATACAAATTTTGAAGGCATTTTGAACTTGGACTTAGCAAAGGGTAATATTATAGCAGCTAACCGTTACTAATTAATGCCCCTATGGTTCCTCGTTGTTGATGATAAGAATTCATGTTCATGGTAACCATAGGGTACTATATAGATGTTGCAATAAAAAGCATAAAAAAAATTAAGTGAATGGAGAAGAACATAGACATAATTCTCAAACTTTGTTATTTGATCCTTCTATAAACATGAGCTCTTTCATATCATCGATAATCTCCAGTAACAAAAAAGTAGGAGTATATTAATGCAACTTGAAGCAAGTCATGATGCTCATTTTAACTTGTAGATATCGTACGATTAATTTATACTAGTCTAATATCATTGTTTAAATTAGGATTGTTTACCTTGAAAATGGTAATAGCAATTAGATTTGATTTTGTGGTTCTAAAAATATGTGATTTATTTTTATGCTAGTTGTTAGGCAATTGATGCTAAGTGAAGGATTGCAGATTAAGATGATAGCTTGTAGATAGCTTTAATAATCAAACCGAAATGGCTGGGAGTCGAGGCCTCGAGCTTGTATATTCGAGGCCTCGAGGTCGAGGCGGATGCGTTGCTGAGGGCAGTCGATGGAGGCTTGGCAGTTATGACAGCCTTGATGAAAGCCTTTTATGACCAATAATGAGCAATAAATAAAGAAGGCAAAATACATAGTTTACCCATTGACCTTGCACCCAAATCCCTGCTACACACCTTTCGACCAAGAGCAACCTTTTACACACCCAACCTTTTAGAAGTGTGTCTAATACACGCTACTTTTTTCTTGACCAATTTTTTAAAACATGTGTAATTTCACGCTCCAATCAGATAGTGAAACGTGTCATTAACTTATTAAAAAAAGAAAAAACCTATAAATTATAATTAGATCCCATCTTCTTCATTAAATCCATCACCATTGCTGCCTTCTCTTCGATCGGCCACCATCAAATCATGCCTTCCATCTCCGACTATTCTTCAATCAAAAGGCAGCTATGTGAAGTTCTCTACTACAAACGCAGCATCACCCCTAATCTCACATCTCCATTAAAATTATTTTTCTTTCACTCTAAAAGAATCCCATAATAATAATCTGGATTAACTTCTTTAAGTAAGAAGGCTTACACATTTACTGTCGAACTTATTATCTTTCTGCTAAAATCTTTAAATTTCATTTTATTCTTCATAAAGATCAAGGATGGCAAGAACCACCATAAAGGGCAGAAGAGGACTGTCGTTGGCGGCCAAGGCGGTGGCTGAACTAAAAAAGAGTTGCAGAGAGCAGTGAAGGCTCTAATTGAAGACAACATCGACCATAGATTCACCTTCTCATCAACCAATCTCCATTAATTTGGAGAAACCCAAAAGATTTCTCTTCCAAAAAAACACTATCTCTCTACCTTTAAAATTCCATAGGCCATCCAGCTTCATTATTGGAATCTTCACAAGAAAACAAACAGAGGCCGGTATGGGGATATGGGAAATTGTGGACGACAAACATGGGAGAACTTTTTGTTTTGTTGAAGAATGAACAAAACAAAGTAAAAGAAAAAGGAATAAAAGAAAGAAAAGAAAAAGGAAAATCAATTTGAACCGTTAGATAAATTTTGTTAGATCAGAATCGTTCAATAAAATATCGGATATATATTTTTATTTCTTCACACACCTTATTTTGTTGTTAAAACACGCGCTGGCCACGTAGGGAAAGTAGTGTGTATTAGGCACACTTTTGAAAGGTTGAGTGCGGAAGGTAATTTTCGTCTGCAAAGAGTGTGTAACAGGGATTTTGTTCATAATTCAGGGGGTAACTTATGTATTTTGCCAATAAAGAACAATAAATAGAACACTATGAATATAAGCAATGAGTGTAAGCAGTGAAATCAAGAGAATATGTTGAGTTAGAGAGCGGAGAGAGAGTTTTTTTATATTCAATATTGCGTATCAGATGCCTCTTACAAAATGACAAGGATCCCCTTTACATATGGAGAGAAATCCCATCATAGTACATGAGTAACTATTACAAAGAAATATAGTTGGCACAGCTACTTACTAGTCTGGTACAGACTAGTGTTTCCTTTACTGGCTTTGTCAGCTTTAATCATATGCCTTGGGAACTTCCTGCTAGTGCGTCGTAGCCGTTAGTTTGCACTGCCTCGAGGTCAATCATCACGAACCCTTGGGGGCGAGCTCCGAGCTAAACTTCGAGCCCCCCGGGGATGGTCTTTTCTGAGGCGCCCTAGTGATCATAAAATCGAGCCCTCTGATTTTTACCGTATACAGATAGTCCCCGCGTTTCTCAAAGTAAAAAAAAGAGAAACGACCTTAAGATCTTGCCTTCCGGTGCTCTCATCGAAGCAAGTAGCTGCGCCCTGCCGAGTGACTGATGTAACAAACTGGGCTTCTAAAGGTCGCGTCCACACAGTCTTCAAAGCCTTTGAATTAATTACGGCGGTTGGCTGCCCTTTAGTTTGTTCCAACCGCGCATATCAGGCTTCTATAAATACTCATTTCTCCGTCCCTTCCTTTCTACTGCCCCATCAGGCTCTCAATAGAGTTTTTCTCTCACCTTCCTCTCATGTTCTTTCCTGAAGCACGATTTTTCGTTTCTTTTTTGTAACTTTTGGAAAAAAATGGCAAACACTGCAGCCTCTGTTCCTCAGGAAGATGCGCCTTCCTCTTCCACGCTCTCTTCTGAGGGTAAAGCAGCAGCGTCTCCTAGGACTGGAGAATACATTCCAGAGGCTTATGAGACGACCTCTAATTTTAAGGTCGAAAGACCTTCTTCGAAGTCGGGGC